CTGACAGCAGTCCGGGTAGCTGTCCCTGGTGCTGAAGGCGGGATGCGGCGGAGCAGGGCTGGGACTCACAGCGTCCCAGGCTGCAACACAAGGGCAAGGCCATCACCAGAGAGAAAGGACGGAGGGCGGGGCGGAGCCATTTCATAGTCCCCATCTGGCTGTACCTTTACATCAAGGGCGCTAGGGGAGGACAGCTGCCCTGTCCTTGAGGGACATGAAGGACAGCTGTTGGATGAGGTGAGGATGTGTGCAACGCATACCTAACCCAGGGAGTGAAATGAGCTGAAGGGATGAGGTGTGCATCCGGAGTCTGGAAACACAATTGGAGATTTGGACATCGTCTTGAATGCACATTCATATACATCCCCTAAATGTTCCTTTCCCCCATCGTTTCTTCTACTCCCATCTTCTTTACTACCTCATTCCCAACCCACCATGCACCTTTCCTCGTCTCCTAGTTTGCTAGATCTGTGGATCTCCCTCCCTTCCCCCATTTCACCCTCAAATGTATCCCCAGAAGTCGTGTCTCCCCCTAATTATTGTGCTTCTCTGTCCTCTCTACTGTATCACCCGCCAGGCTTGTGACTGCCTGTGAGTCAGGCAGTGAGGTTGCTCTATGGCCAGGAAAACCCTCTTTCTCTCTCCTCTCCCACTTCATGGTATAGGATTTCTCTTGTGGCCCCGGAGGGAGCGGAAGAGGATTTATTGTTGATGGACTGAAGGTTCGCAGGTTCAATTGGATTCCCATCAAAGGCACATACAGCGGTTGCAGGCTCCCTACCACCACATGTGCGGGAGGCAACCAATTGATGTGTCTCTCTGTCCCTCCCTGTCCATTCTCTCTAAAAACTCAATGGAAAAAATATCCTTGGGTGAGGATTAACTAACTAACTAACTAACTAACTAAATAATTTTTTTTTTGCTGTGAGATTCATTCATATTGCAGAAAGTGGCTGTAGTTGGATGAATCCACAGTTGTATAGTATTACAGGGCATAACCATATTCTAGTGCATTTATCTTATTTATCTACATTTTTCTACTGATGGACATCCAGGTTGTTTCCAAACTTAAAGCTGCCATATATACCAGATATATATATATAATTTGACTTTACTAGATAATGGCAAACTATTTTCTGAAATGGTGGTCCCAATTTACACTCCCATGAGCTGTAAATAGTTATCCCTTTTTCTGTATCCTTGTCCACCCTTGGCCGGGTCGGATGATCTGCTGCTAGTCTAGATGGCTGATGAAACATCACTGTGGTCCTACTCCCTATCCCACCCCCACCTCAGGTTTTACTGGGACCTGATCATGCTCCTGCTGATGGTGGGGAACCTCATTGTGCTGCCCGTGGGCATCACCTTCTTCAAGGAGGAGAACTCGCCGCCTTGGATCGTCTTCAACGTCCTCTCTGACACTTTTTTCCTGCTGGATCTGGCGCTCAACTTCCGCACGGGCATCGTGGTAGAGGAGGGCGCTGAGATCCTGCTGGCTCCGCAGGCCATCCGCACACGCTACCTGCGCACCTGGTTCCTGGTTGACCTCATCTCCTCTATCCCTGTGGATTACATCTTCCTGGTGGTGGAGCTGGAGCCACGACTGGACGCTGAGGTCTACAAAACAGCGCGGGCCCTACGCATAGTGCGCTTCACCAAGATCCTCAGCCTCCTGCGGCTGCTCCGCCTCTCCCGCCTCATCCGCTACATACACCAGTGGGAGGAGGTGGGGCGGGGAGGTGGGCAGGGGGGTCACAGACTTCTCCGAGACAGTGCTATGGGTGGGACTCCTGGTGACTTTATGGGGTGGGCAGATGTGTGGGGCTTCCGAGGTGGGCTATCTCCAAACTTGGTGAGGGAGAAGCAGGAACAGAATGGGGGGGGGGCGG